ACTTTGGTATTATTTAAATCCTATGAAAAATACTTGATGGGTTTCTTGTTTATTTACTCTAGTGTTGACCGACTAAAAAATAAAAGGCATCCTTAAAAATGCATTTAATGCTGTAAAGACAATTAATAGATTATCAAAATTCTGAAAAAATAAATTAAACTATTTGTAAATATTCATTGCACATACTATATTATAGTTGTCATTTTTTTTTTTATAAAAAAAATAATTGAATCAATAGAATAGACGACAAAGTAATAAGGTTGTATGGTGAATTGTTTTAAAAGAGTTACATCTTAATAACATCTAGTTTATACAGAAATACATATCTACAAAGTATGTAACCTCAATTCTTAAAGAGCAAAATATGTAAATAAAATGCACGTGTGTTTTTATGAAACTTTTCTGTTGAATTATACGTTTTATTGGAATACTTTAAATTCTATAAATAAATCTATTATTTCGTACATATTAACATCAATTTGGAACACACGTTTAGACCGCCAATTTAGAAACTTATGAACCGAGATAGAGTTATTTTACTAGCAAACATTGTTCACCACTATCATAATTTTAGCTTGCCAAGAAAAAGAACAACATACATAGTAATGTAATTTTAAAAAGAGCAACCACTCGATTTGTACGTCACTCAAGAGTCTTCGGAGTAGAACGAATTTTTCTATTTGATTATTTAACAACAAAAATCTACGTGAAATATAGTTATATTTTTTTATTTTTATTAACCCTTATGTGACTGGAAAGGTACCCGGGTACCTTTTCAGTTTTTAAATTTATTTTCCTTCTAAATATTTAGTATGTATGGTTAGTCCTTCTGTGACATCTCTAAATAGCATGTATAGTTCACAAATTTATATTTTGTATTTGAAAAGTATATAATTTATTATACTTAAAATATCGTTGTTAATTTTACACCTTATAAGGACGTAGTAGGTACCTGGGTACCTCTATATATTGTATTTAAATGTAGGTTTTATTGATACAAAAAAAAGTTAAATTACCATTGATAAATATTTTTACTGGACATCAATAAAATAGATACAAATATTAAGAGAACAAAAATGTTATTTTTTACATATTTAGTAAGTATTATAACATATTTAGGTTTTTTGTTGATTGCAAGTTTCGCAAAATGATTTGTTTATTGAGTGTTCATTGCAAATAGGCTTTGAGCAAGTTGAACAAGCTTTTCGAGTTTTCCGTTGCTTATAACCCAATTCTCGACATACTAAGCAACTTCCAACTATTTGAATACGTCCTGAAGCATCACGAGGTGGTTCATTTTTAGGAATAACAATTGTCTGTTGTATTGGCCGTCCGAGAACCATTTCCATTGAATTACGAGTATATCAATTTCCTACTACTTTAGGTATGGAGGTTCGAATTTCTATTGCAGACATACATAACTAATTTACAAGCTCTTTTAAAAATTTTCGGCGTCGATCAGTTGTGTTAAACCTTTGATTGTGTTCCATATATATAATATATGCAGATAAAGCAGCAATATCAATCATGTTGAAAAAAAATGCAAGTGGCCAACGATTAGTTCTTCGCTTTACTGTGTATTCTGTTAACATTTTATCCATTGTATCTACTCTTCCTTTTGTCAGATTATAATATTTTATAATTTCTGGTTTAGCGGTAGCAGCTTGCATTATGTCGGCTGTCATATGCATTGCAGATAAAAGAATAACCGATTTATTTATTTTTGGAACATAAGAACAAAGAGTTAAATCTTTTCTAAATACAAAATTTGTAGAATGTAACGCTCTGGCTTTTGATGGAAGCATTTTGGGAGGCAAGAATCTTTTATTTTTTCTGACAGTACCAACCAATGTCATATTCCAAGAGTTTAATGTAGTAGCCAATTGCATACTTGTAAAAAAGTTGTCTGTAGTCACATTTCGTCCAGAACCTTTATACATCGCAACTAAGTCTAGAACTGTACGTTCACCAATATTTACTTGACGTTTACCATCTTGTGATTTGCCTGTGTAAATTTTACCATGCAAAGGGTAAGCATTTGCTGCATCGCAAGCCCAAAAAACCTTTATTCCATATTTTGCAGATTTAGATGGAATGTACTGTGTAAATTTTGTGTGTCCTCTGTAAGGAAATAATTGTTCGTCTACTGTTATATTTTCTGTAGGTTTATAATTTTTATGCAAGTTTTTATTGAGCATGTCCAAATATCCCGAATCGGTGCAGCTTTGTCTGTTGTAATACGTATATTACGAGTGTTTACATTATCAAAACGAATAAACCTTAGCAACATTTTGAATCGATCTCGAGACATTGCAGCTCGAATGAGAGGTAACGAGTCTAATTTCCACATTTCTGATACATGTTCTTTATTAGATCTATGTACACCAGATACGAGAAGAATTACATATAATAAGATATAAAAGCAATAGACTGACGACAATGAAATAATTTACCGAAAAGCACAGATAACTATATTGTAGGTACCCGGGTACCTACACCGTCATAAGAAGTTGTTTTTTTTTTCAGTCACATAAAGGTTAAATACAACTGAACACTCACGAAACAATACTATTCGTTAGTATCTATCTGTTACGCTTACAAATTTTTATAACTGTACAACATTTCCATTGGTAATTGTTTTCAATATATCTATGTCTACTTAGTAACCACTTGTTATTTAAAATATTTATAACTATATTATAATTATGTTGATGAAACTTAACAGTTTATCGCGCATGTACAAACTTACAGCAATTATAGTTCAATATTTTTTATTTTTAAATAGAGATAATTTATGTAACAATTTTGGCAATTTGCGCAAAAATAAATGAATGAGCGTCTTATCACCATGAGTATTATTTTTAAACAAACATACAAACAGTTTTTTGATCAAATATNTATGTAACAATTTTGGCAATTTGCGCAAAAATAAATGAATGAGCGTCTTATCACCATGAGTATTATTTTTAAACAAACATACAGACAGTTTTTTGATCAAATATTTTTTTTGCCATATTATTGGTAGCGAAGAAAAAAATAATTTTTTTATTAAAGTAAGCTAATTCCAAAATACTGGTGCATAGTAAGGCAGCTTAGTAATTAGTTAATTTACTTAGTACGTTAATAATTACATTAGACAAAATTAGTTGAAGTCTCAGCAAAATAAACCATTTCTATTTCATATTTTTAGAACAATATTCTATTTTAAAGATTGTCCGAAAGCACATAAAGCATCAATCAACATTGTCTAAAAAAAGGTTTTTCTATTAACATACATTTTATGCGAATGTTTTTAAATATAATTATTATAATATGACAACATTTTTGCCTTTTAAAAAATAAAGTTAAAACATCTTTAAGGCATGATTCTAAAATGTAATTATTAGTTGATAACTCAAGAGGTTTATTATATACCGATCACTCTGTATATAATGCAAATCGAAATTGATGCAATAAATTATAACAAATTATTCAAGTAAATAGTCATATAATATTTTTTACCACATAAAACTCCACCTATGAACAAATAAACGTAATTAAATCAAATTCAATATTATCAAACTTGATAGTACTTTAAAATATTTAACACTCAAGAGTCGAGAGATACACATCCTGTCCTTAATTTAATCCCAGTATAAAAATAAAAAATATAAACTGTGAACAATTTTATCTGAGAAGGGAGTATATACTCAATTAGATTTTTCAATTTGATTTTAATATGCTAAAGTTGAGTTTTGATATAATTTCAATTTTTTTTTTTTTTGTTATCAAATAAATTCATATACCAATAAATTATAATCAGGAACAGAAGAATAAAACATAATTTACCTTATAAATCATAAATATACTTGATAAAAAAAAAATGGCAAAACCATTGTTATTATGCAAAATAATTGATAATTTTGCATACATGAACAAATTAAGATAATTTAATTTTGCTAATTCATTAATATTTTTAACTCTTAACAATTTCCTAGTTATTAAAAAATGTGAACTAAAATGTAAATATAATCTCAATTTCTTTTAATTTTGTGTGTGAATTGTGTATTTTACTTATTATTTGTGTTTCAATGAATACAATTTGTAATAATTTCAAATTGTAGGAAAAAATCAACAATATATTTTTGCTAAAATAATAAATGTATTGAAGTATTTATGATAGGCTACAAATAAAAGTAAATATATAATAACATTTTTTACTTAAATTACATATAAAAGCATGAGATACATGAAAAAATCTTGGAACATTTAATTATTTAAATCTTATTTTAGTTTTTAATTTAAATTATGCTATCAAATATTTTACAATAAAAGACCATTTAGTGTCCCGTCAAGCATTAAAGTCTACAAATGATTTAACGGCTATAAAAAATATAGTAATCAAATTGCTATTAAAAATATTTTTTTTACTAAGGCAATGTTTTTTAATGACTGGAAAATATCTCTTTTTAATCATAATTGTAATATTATATTTTTAAATTAAAAATACTAATGTATGTCTTGTAACCTCGAGATAAGAGGGGGATTAACCTCCATGTAAACGTGAGAACGTCCCCGAACAACAAATTAATCTCTTATTACAAATTATTATGAACAACATTGAACAATACAATATTCTAGGACTTTATTCAAAGATGACCCTGTAAATCTAAAAAATATGTACTTGAATTTAATTACGCATACATATATGTTATCCATATTTTTGCAGAAAACAATTATTAATTTATTATTAATAACCATAAAAAAAATTCAAAAAAATTATTTATAGACAAGATAAATTCATTATAGTAGTTTAAATTTCCCATAGGCATTGGCTAACGGTGTAGTCCAAAACGTAACGTCAAAAAACTAAACGGTCCATCATTTTTTAATGCTATCGATAACAGTGTGACCACGGAGACCGACGAAAATCTTGCTGGTAATCATTATTAACGGCGTCCACGAACCGGCGGGCGGGGCATTGCGAAAAATCGATGTGAACACGCGCGGCTTGACGGTGACACACGGCGGCGAATTCGACAGATATTAAAGTCACGCTGTTCAACAAGTTCAAATTTTTTTAATCTAAAATATTTCTTCAGATATTTGGATCGACGTTTATGTTTTGCTTTATTAACGAATATAAAATTTGATGCTTATAAAAAGTTTAATAATTTGTTTTATTAAAGAGACGCCGGTAGAACTTTCAAATGCAACTGTAGTGTTAATTTTATCTGGTAGATGACACTAGTCATAAAAACGTAAGCGCGTGTGTAATCGTGCGACTGTGTGAGTATGCATGTATAATCTTGTTAATAATAAAATCCTTTACGATTTCGCCAGAAATGATTGGCTTCTTTACAATCGAATTAAGTCTAACAAGATAAAAAAAAAAGGCCGTATCGCTAACGGACGACCAGTAGGCCATCGTGAGCGTGAGTGCGTTTTTCGCGAACTGAAGTCGGTTGTCGCGAGTGGATTATTCGCGTCGACCCAACCGTCGTTGCTGTCTTCGTTAGTACTGGTGTTATCGTTTAACAAATTTTTCATAGCTTTGTTATTGTTCTTTCGCTAGTGTCATATCTGTGCAATCGACTTCTCTCTATTGTCAACACTGCCGCCGAAAATCATAATTTCCGGGACGCGTTCGTACAAGTTGAAACAAATAGTCGAGAATATGTGTCATTGTATTAACAATTATTTATTAATATTATAAATAATTTATAATTTATAATTGTGCAATTTGTCGGCGGGCACTAGCGGCGAGAAGCGTACGCGTGTGTGAGTAGTGCTACTAAACGGCGCGTTGCGGTGCAGATTAAAATTTCCGGTCGAGCGTTTCTCATATCAGCTGCTGCACACGGGCCGCCGGATCGCATTTTTTTCACTACCTCCCACTACACCACCGTGTCTTTGGTGCCTCTCCCACTATTCTCTCAGTCTAGCGCGCGCACACACTGTCGCCGCCGCCGTCACCACACCCAGCCGCGCGCCGGCGAGACGACCGCCCCAGCCGAGTGCGCGATATCGCCGTACTAACTCACACAGCATACACTCACTAGTACATCATTCAGTATATAATATTATATTAAATCGTTATTATTATTGAATGTGCAGATAAAAATACAAGAACATATTCTTTACATGAACGCTGGTGTCGTTTGTAGTTAGTAAGTAATCGAAAAGCAACGCCAAACTGCTGTACGCCAGCAAAATTCCAGTTTTTGTCGATCGTGTGCGTGCGGTTTTTTCTCGTCGGCAACGTGAATTCGTTTTAGATTGTGTTAGTTCGCGCACTCGCGTGTGTTAAGTGCTTTTTTTAGTGTTCTGCAAACGCTTCTATCGTATTCGGGGTACGCGAAAATTCGAGTGATAGGTACAAGTGTCACGAGTAGTGCATCGACAAGTCGAGGATACCTAAGTAAATTCTCTAGCTAGAAGAGTAGCAAAAGATAATTGAGTACATGGACGATGGAGTTCCATCGATTATCACAGCCATCCTAGTAAGGTGACTGACTACCACTTTTGTGGTGGTTTTACGCAGAGTCTGAGTAACGGCAGTCACTGTGCATAACTTTCGGTGAGGCCCGGCGCTGCGGTCACTGTGGAGTGGCACGAGGCATCTACTGCTGCTGGCCGCATTAGTGGTGGTGGTAGTAGGAAGAACAACGTGTGGACAGCGCAGCAGGTAATAACGGGTACGCTGCGGCAGCCTTCTGTCCTCCGTGGTCGTGGTGGACCAGGCCGCAAGGTGTTGTTACTATTGCTGAAATGGCGTGTTGCCTGTCCGAGGAGGCCAAAGAACAGAAGCGGATTAACCAGGAGATTGAAAGACAGCTACGGCGTGACAAGAGAGATGCCCGGCGAGAACTCAAGCTTCTATTGCTCGGTAAGTAAAATCATTATTAGTTTATAATTAAACATACTATATCTAGTAGACATTATAAGACCCATCATGAGACCTTTTTGAACCTGTATAGTGTAATACATTTAAAAATTCAATAAGAAATAGAATCTTGACAATCAGTTCCTCTAGTCTGCATAGGCTTTCCACTCCTTTAAAATGTTTTGTATATTTAGATTAAATAAGCAAAAGAACTCATCATTATCTTCAACTATATCAACTAACTTAATAGAAGATTTTATAAATTAAATTTAGTTTCTTCTTGTGCTTATTAATTTCAATTGATTTATAAAAGTTGTTCGGTTGATTATTATAAAAATAATTTCTTAAAGACTTTAATGTGTGTTGGATATAGCTTAAAACATTTAATTATAAATTCTCTAAATAATAAACACTTATGTTGAGAGAATTTTCTTAAATTAACATTTATTATTATATATGTAATATAAGATATTATTGGGATATGACAAATATATTTTTAATTGACTTAACATATCTTTAGTATGTCAACTATATAGTTTGCACTTAACAAATGTTTTTTTATCAAAAGATCTTTTTTATTTTATTTTTTATTTTTTGGTAACAACTGATGATAATAGTTTATCCAAATGCTTAATTTACCACTTAATTTCACATTAAAGTATATAAATTACTAAGTTTGGTAGAGCATATCATTTATAAATTTTTACCATTATTTAATTTTAAACAAAATGACAGTTTTTAAATTTTTTTTGTATTTAAAAACTTATTTATCAAGAATTTTTTGAAATTTAAGTAAAATATTTTACACTATTTATAAGTTATTGTAAAGGGTTTTTTTTCTGGTTCCCTAAATCATTTTTGACACTTTTTTAACTTCCAAGTCCTAGTTATTATATAACATCCCTAAATGATTTTTCACTTTTCTTATCCCAGATAATATTCACTAAATTATAAAAATAAAAACTTGAAAAAAGATAATTTAAACTATAAAAAATATGTTTTAATATATTTTAATGTTTGAAATTTGATTTACTAAAATAAAACTTATTTTAAACATTTTGTTTTAATCATATTATTTTTAATTTCAGTTATTTTAAACAAGATTAAAACAGTAATTTTTAAATAAAACTTTTAACACTGCAAACTCTGATATTATCTGATTATTTTTTAACTTACATTGTCTTCACCAAAACCTTACTTCCCTCACTATTTTTGCATTTTGAATTGGTTTATTACTTATTAATGAAAAACATTAGCAATATCATATTTTTTACTAATCTGATAGCTAGGAGTTAAAATTGTTAAATATAATATTTTGCAAAAAAAAAAAAAAAAGTATATTAAGCAAAGTCAGTTTAATAAATTAAGTTTATCATTTAGTAAACCTCATTTTAAAGTTTTCCAGTATTTATATAAAAATCATTATTCTAATTTTCTTATTCATTCCTATTCATCTATGTATTGATTTATAGAAACTTCATTTTATTTTTTATTTATTTTATTTAAGTCAATATCATAAAAAAAAAAATTCAATATCATTTTCACTGTCGCATTCTTTGTATTATGACAATTTATATATTACATTAGTCATTTTTTGATTAGCTCATTTCCTCTTAAATCATTTGATCATGAAAAGTTTCATTTATATTTCCATTTTTAATCTATAATTAATTAAGTGAAATATGTTATTATAATAAACTAATTGTAAAAAAAAAATAATGACACCAGTTATAAAGAATGGAAAATGTGTTAAAAGTTAAAAAAAAAAATTATCTCACCTATAGAAATAAAAATAAATTAAAGTGTTTAATGACAAATAAAATTAATAATTTATTGATATTTTTTTCTTTTAAAAAATTATATTTAAAACTTATGATCATTTATTTGTTCATCATTTTAAATTACATCCTTTTTAGTTAATAATAAAGAAAAATGTAATTTTTCAAACCAATTGATGTGTGCTACAAAAACTTTTAACAGCATAAATTATTTAGTTAATAAGACTCAATTGTTTAAAAACTTTGATAATCATAATATTTGTTTGATATTAGTGTTGTAATGTGATAAATAAATGTTATTCAAGTATAAACTATTTTAATTTCTATTTGTATACATTCCTAAAGTTATTTCTTTGAACTTATCTGTAGTTATATTTTGTATCTTTTAGAAATTATTAATACTTTATATGAGAGTATATGTTAATATCACTTTTTTTAGAGCTTAAAATTTTACATTAATTTATTATAAAAATGTTCAAAATATATCATTTTTATTTGCTATGTTAGTTGTTTGAAGAACTAAATGTTTTTATAAATTATCATTATTAATATTATGAAAAATATCGGCCTGACCTAGTAGATAAAAATATTTGTTTTTGGTGCACAGGGTTTCGGGTTTGATCCCCATGGTGCCAATGAGATTTTTCTTGTGATTTTCTGATTGTTGGTATCAAGTTTGGTGCAAGCTGGTCGCTTCCCATTCATCATTAGCTTACCCAATAACTACTTTGATTCCCTAACATATGACTAAAGGCTACCATCTTTTGTAGCATGTTAAGTTTGGGAAATAAAAGGATGTCAAACTGACCATTATTATTATTATTATTATTATTAACATTATGAATTAAATTTATAACATAAAAACTAAATTTCATAAATTTGAAGAAATCATTAAAGTCCACTACTCAAAATTATTTTAAATATAAGATTTTCATTTTCTATTAGAAAAATAGTTGTTAGACTTTGTTTTTTGAATTAAGTATTTAATATATCATCTCTTCAATTACTATGAAGATGATTAATACATATATATATATATATATATATATA